AAAGATAATCATCTTGTTATTAAAAAAAAATTGCTCAGATAGTACACCAATGACCTCAGAATCGATCATCAGTCTTCAATATAACTTGCAGAATAGTGCAAATTCATCATCATCGGTCAAGATTTTTTTTGGATTTGGATAAAAGCAACATTTAGAAAAAAAGCACGATCACGAATGGTTGATAAATTAGCACCTGCTCAGCTATCATTGTTCCGTGCTTTGTACCCTCCACTTTCGTTAATTCTACCAAAACCGATATATACCTGTAAAACCGACAAATTTAAATCATCATCCAGAATGTCAAACCTAAAAAAAGCTTATGCTGATTAATAATTGAAAAATAGTTATTTCTGCAATTCAGCTATATTTATGATAATAACTATGAAATCCAATCAGGACTGAATTTTGAAAGATCATAGAATCGATTATCAGTCATCAGTCAAATATAGATCAGCAACGGTCATTTAATTAAAAGCTTAAGCTTAAAATAATAGAGATAATATGATAAGCAAAAGTTCTTGATATGTTTATCACATATGCCTTATTGACTCATACAAATTCTGTTTCTTAGTAAGAGATCTTTCTCTGAATTTGTTATCCAAATTTGCAGTATACAGAAATTTCCGTTGCTTCATATCACAGATCACTGAAGTGTTTCAAACAAAAATTAACAAAATCATTACCACTCAAAATTTGTAATATATTGATAATTATTGTACGAACAAATTGCGATAATTCTTGAGAGCAACTCATCACGATAATACGATCCTTCTGCAGCATCAACATGATCCATCAGTTTTCGCACAATTTCCATGATATTTCGTTTGGATACCATCCCGTAAAGAAGATCTAATGCTCTTAAAAGTCATTTCTTTCAACCGGAGTAAAATATCCCACGATGAAATAACTAATATGCAAATAATGTGTTGTATTATTTTTCTACGCCGGTGATAAGAATATTTTCGCGGAATCTATCCAATTGCAAGCAGATTAAAATGAATTATATTCAAACAGATAAATATGTCTGTGCTTTCGATCCTATACAAATTTAATGGAAAACAGCAAAATAAAATAAAAACCTTAGTCGAATGCTTTCATCTTTGTCATCTAAGCATCGCAAAACAATATCTTTGTGAGCTTGTACCGCTTTAGGGTGTGTTTGCAAAATCTTTCCCATTGCAAGTAAACCAAGGTATTTCAAGTTTTGATCAGAATCTTCAATTAGTACCCCCAATTTCTGTACACAAAGCTGCAAAATACAAAAACTCAAAAAACAATAACAACAAGAACATTGATTGAGAGAACCACTTTGTCATTAATCTCTCTGCAAATTTCGCGTACATCAACTTTGTAAAGCCTATCATTTCCATATAAATTTCATATAAAACTGTTTTTTTGGTTATATTCAAACACATATTTTCATTTAAATTGCAAATGGACGTAATTAATGAGATACATGAAGATACATTTAAGATACATGAAACTTATTTCACTAGAAATGTGATGCAAACTTTCAAATGCTGTACCTGTATGCTGGCAGTATGATCACCAGGTACACCAGATGAAATACTTATTAGTACTGAAAACAATTATGTCTATTCATTGATAAATGTAGAAGCAAATGAATTTAAAACTTCTAGGAAGCATCAATATTCTGGAATTAAGCAAAAATAGATATCAATTTGGAAACTACTGCGATAATGAGTTTAAAAGCCTTAATTCGAAAATTATTGAGATCTGATGTGTTGGTATTGAGCTATTGAAGTATCTTTAACATATTTCCGTTTCTATATGTATCAGCATATCCAATTCTTTTAGATCATATTATTCGAAATTTATGTCCTAAAATATTAAAAGAACAAACCCGCAATAACTGTGTTGATACATTCATACAATAGTGACATCGCTGATGTGCTGAAAATTATCATTTATGGAAGGGACAGATATTTTATAACAGTAGTGCTGAGTATATAACAATTTACAAGAGTAATTAAAAATTTAAATAATACCAACCTATTGATTAAATTAGTCAGCGGTTCCAGTAATTTTTTGCCAAGACGAGGCTCCAGTGGCACCAATGCACCAAACTAGAAAAACAACTGTTATTATACGGAATTTCTTCCTCTTGATTTTTGTTTTGGAAAAAAGCAAAGAAAAAACCGATACTTAAACAGCTAAGTTGATCCAGAGCTTATTGAGCTGTTACTTAAAGCGAACACCGAAATTAATATAATTACATGCGGTATTAACTTACCAGTTTGATAATTTTAATCAACATCCAATTATTCGATGAGGTTGTCATTAATTTGAAGAACACTGGGGCTAAAGTCAGGTAATTTTTAGGATTTTTTCGTGCCAACTCACAAATAACATTTACTGCAGCACTTTGCACACCTGAAAAAGGTCCAATAATCAGTGAGATAAAATCGCTAATTCTTACTCACAGCAGTTAAAATTATATCCAAACGAAAAAATTAACTGCAGTACCTGGATCCGCATCTTCTAGCTTTTCCTTCAGCCGTGGAAAAGTAGGCCTTAGAGAGTCTGGATATTTGAGGAAAATTTTGTACAATAACAATACACATCTTTTGCGTACATATGGTCGACTGGAAGAGAGCTGAAATAAACAATAGCTTATAAACTTTACTAGTAAGATGAAGTTTATATCCTGTGTTACCGTGATGATCCAGTTTTTGTTTTAAACTGATAATACTAAAATATAAAAAGTATTAAATACTAAAATATAAAATAAGATGTTACACTGCTTCAAAAGAAATAAAATAGCCCTCAAACTACATAAAAGCTTGCCACATTTCTTAAATTTAAAACAGAATGGTATTACTTAGAAAACACTCTTAAATGTTAACAATGTTAACATACAAGATTCACAACATCGTTAGTGAGATCTCGAGCCAAATCAAGTGTAACAAAACATGAAAATGCTCCCAGTGCTACACCCGTCTCGTACATTATAGCACTGTGTAAATCTTTTCGTATTAAATTGGTGGTCAACATCAAAACATCGGTACCATCATGGAAGCACTGTGACGCCGCCATATAACTAAAAAGAACAAAGTTTAAACATTTCTCAACTGATTGGCAATCCGGTTATATAAAAAGCGAAGCCAAATTGATACTGCTTTCATTCAAATAAATGCACTTCTCCATTTTTGCCTAAAAAATGTTGATGTCGTAATTTTATCTTGGTTTTGTAAAAAAACTGCTTAGCAGGGAATAAAACAAATTCTAAATTTCGACATATCATTTAAATACAAGTGCATATGACCGGACAAGATTGTTCGTAAAATTTTTTTGTTACTAACTAAAGATATCAAATTAAAGAAGAAATTTTGCCCAATAGCAGAGTTAGCACGAAAATTATTGGGAAATTGTTCGGTTAATTTTGTTCTAAACCTCCTTCTAATTATCTATTAAATCCTCCAATTACCGTGTGAAATTTACCCGATTCGCTTTTCGGTGAATTTCGTTGACGCCATCACTTCAATAATATTGAATGATGCCCATGACATGTCATATCCCATCATTTGCAACTGAAACTTGTTATATTTTGTGTTCAATAACTTATAACTGAGGTAGTATTAAGCAGTAGATAACAAAGTATTCCAGCAGTGAGTGACACACAGTTCCGCTGCTACCATCTCATTAAGAATAACTAAACAACATTAGGGTGTTCAATTATAATATGGAAAATTATAACTTATCATTAGATTTCATAGAAGGTCTTGGAACAATCTTCGACATGATTCATTCATTTACTCAATATATGGTCTTTCGGTTCATTATATGGCTTAATGATTACTCAGAAATTATATGTTGCTGGGATTTTCTCGAGTCGCTATTCTACTTTCTCTATTCTGAATCTTTATAGAAATTCTCCTTCTTTTGCGCAATTTCTTCGACGATCAACTTCAAAAGGATGAGTAAGGACATACATAAGCAAGTTTTTCAATCGCATTCGCCTTGACAAAAATAGAATCCTGTCGGAGTTCCATCTTGATTTCATGAATACACGCTGCGATGTACCGGGCCTAAACGCACGATATAACTGCACAGAATGATAGAAGATAGTTATGTAATTCCACCAAGTTTTGTTGTCATTGTTGTTACTAATAAATTTACCTGTTATCGTTACTATAGATAATAGATAACATTAACCTCATTATCCTTGTTGTTCCGGATACCGCGGATCAAATCTGTCAAACTTTTATCAAAAAAACGATCCAAATTACTGCGCACTTTGCGCAATGCCATCAATTGAACGAAGCTGAAGTATACGTGCAACTTCACTTACATCTGTTTCTGTCTTGAATTCTTCACGAACGTTGTTCTACAAGTGTCTCTTAAATGCTTTCTTTTGTAAAGCGACGATAATCCATGCGTTCAACAGAAAACCATCAGTGACAGGAACTGTCAACTTTGCCACTCTCAGATGACAAGAAGAAGTAAACTTGTTAAAAAGTTCAATTCTAAAACTGCTTCACGAATCAAAACTCCCATACACATACTTCCGCATTCCAGTTAATCTTAACCCCAAACTTAGCCTCTTTTTAAAAACTAACAATGTCCCCGCACAATAAAACTTTTGTTTTACGTTCTGGAGCATTTCAGGATAGTTTAAAGAGAAAGACCTGCAATCTCTCCGATAAGCATCACGTCTCTTTTCGTCAACTACAAGCAAGTTAAGATTATGCCAAAGCTTTCAAGCTGTAAAAAGCATAATGATTGATGTGTGTATTGAGACGATGACGTACGTAGCGTAGTTGTGTCACCATGGAAGATTTGAACAAACCGTTGCGGTTTCTTAGTGAAATATGAACAGATATGAATGATTTAAATATGACGTTTAGGATTTTTGCTTAATGCGGACTTTTATTCTAACGTGTAAAATGAAGTTTAAGCAATAGAATTGAAACAATTTTAATTTCAATTCTACGTTTGTTTTTAACTTATTGATAGCATGTAAATTGCAATTTTCAGGAATGTTGACACCAGTGTTCCATATAGATCAAGATCCGGAATACATTACCATTCATATTTATGCACCTTATGCAAATGTGAAAGATACCGAAGCCGAGTATTGCGACTTGCAATTTTTTTTCATTTCGAGACCATATTTCTTGAAGCTGTATTTACCTGGTGAATTAGCTGAGGAAGATATCTCAGGTACATATGACTGTGATAAAGGTAAGTGAGTGTTTTTCAAAAAATTGAACTTCTCTGAGTGATTTCGATCCTGTTTGTGGTTTGATAACTAACTGATATTAGAGTATGGCATGTTTTTTTTGAAAAAATTTCTAATTTTCAAATGTCTTTAGTATTTCAGAACTTCCTCTATCTTTAAAAATTATCGACTTCCATTTCTTCGTCTTAGAATTTTCTTAGATTTCTTTCTAAGATACATCACATAGTTGATAATTAGATTATTGCAGGAAAATTGTTGTTCTTCGTGCAAAATTTTCTTCAAAAGATTTCATTTTAATTAATTATTAACTAATCACCTCTAAATCTTCCTTAAAATTGCTGGTTAAATAATTTATTTTTGCATATTTTCTACCATGATATTTGCCTATTTCAGGATCATTTACATTCAAAGCGCTGAAAAAAAATATTGGTGAATTCTTTCCCAATTTGGATTTAGTGAACCAGCTGCTGAAACCATCAGATATCCATGCAAAACGACTAGTGGAAGAAACTGGCGAAGATGACGGTATTTTCGAATTATCATTTTTGCCAGTTTTTATGAACTAATGCTTATTACGTCCATTTCGTGACCGTCGTTCGAAGTTCTCTCCTCTCGAATGTTATGCATTAGGTTAAATTTGCTTAAGATACATAGCAAAATTCATATCAGACATTTTGCAGATATTTTGGCCAATTTTTCAAATGAACCACAAAGTTCCCAAATATCAAATAGCGACATAGTGGATGATTTTATGGACGAGGAATGTAAACTCTACGGTTATGGTTTTGCTTGCTGTCGTCACGGTATTATTGGGAAAATTAGTGCAGAAATCGGTAATCTGTTGGATATAGAAAATCCTGAGGATTCACTGATTGATGGAAGATTTATGGATTGTTTAAGGCATGATCAATTGAAGTTCGATGCCGAACATTATATGTATGTTATGTATATTGGAATTAAGATTAAGAACAGAGATTTTTGTTCTGTAGTTAGTATGTTCTTTTTTGTTTTTTTCCAAGCAACGTTTTATGCTTATCTATAAATTTGCATATCATCAACGAGATAACTTTTTCAGTGCTGATCTGTTCGAAAAGAATCCTTTGCTGGATGAATGCTTACAATTTGAATATCCTGAAACTATGTTTGATTTGTCTTTCAAAAGTCGTGATCATTTGAAGAATTTGCGCAGAAAATCGTTTCCCAAGTATTCTTCGGATTTAGAAAGAACGATTGCTTTGTCTCTGATAGATATTCTCTTCGCTTATTTATATGATATAAGGACAACATGTGGAGAGCATTCGTCGGAATCTGGTTTGTTTCGAATCATTTCGTTTAAATTATCAAAAATATATTTGAGCAAAAATATATATACTTTTACATTGGTTCAATGGATATACAATAAAAAAATAAATCTATGCTGTTCCGAACGAGATTTAAGGATGCAGGATGCATTCTTTCAGGTATCTTTGTTTATGTCGGTTGATTACCTTCCCGACTGGGAAGTCCTTATAACCCTATTTTGTGTGAAAAATACATAAAACGGAACCGTTTTTTCTTCCGTTTTAGTTTTTGTGGATGCACGGTTTACAGAATCGATGTGCTTGAACTTGCTTAATTTCTTCTTTTTGCACTGGTATTCGTTCATTATCTACCACAGGAAATTTTTTTTAATTTTTTTTTAGTTTTATTTCTTCTTTTTAGGTTGGACGATCGCAAAATTGAGTCCTACTCTCAGTTATCTGGTGAGGTGGAGGACAGCAAAGGAATCCATCATAGGTGCTGTTAGAAGGTCGTTATGTTTCCCGCTTTATCGGCACTGGGATTTATCTATGAAAGTCGTAGACGATTTGAAATTTCTCCTCGGCAAAGGTAAACTTGAAAATTTTATTTTTAAATTTAAAAGACTCGAAGTGATGTTTTAAATAACATTCCCTGAGCATCAAGTATCTTATATGCTTCTTGTTGTGGTAAATATTTCATTTTTAAAAGAATTTTTTAAAAAAATGCATAGGATTTTCTGTTATAGGCAAGGTGTCGTTGCTGCAGTGTCTAGTAGATGTTAGTATAGTCTTATCGACGAGCGGCGATTATCGTTATTTGTTGAATGATTTATTTATAACTGATTATTGTTTATGGGTTCAGCATGTCTCGGATAACATTCTCTCATGGTTACAGTACGAGTTGAATCATTTAATTTTAAAAAAAAGTGATGTCCAGTTAGACCTGGAAGAAGTGGAGCTGGAAGCAAAATTACTGACTTTGCAAATAGGTGCTAGAAATTCTGAACTTGAGGACTCAGATGATGATCCTTCCTAGGATATTGTTCACAAGATAAATCAAATTGAGAGCAACTGTACATTTTTCTTTATATTTTTTTCTTGAGCTATATCTTTAATATACTAGCATTAATTCGTTCAACAGTTTCCTTAATCACCAGAGAAAATTACACGGTAGGAAAAACCCTAGGTCGCAACAGAGTATTTGCATTTGGAGTGTTTTTACATGTTGGATGACGTTACTGATTAAAGTGATGTTTGCATGGCTTATCATATTTTGTCAAATGAGAATGGGTACACCACTGTTGAGAGCTTGAACTAAACTTAGGAGCCCGCGTTATTTTTCTCATAAAATTTTGGTGACGTGAAAGATGGGAAAACATGGATTGCAATCTTAACTATAGATCCTCCTGCTTTACCTTATTGCTCGAATCCTAACCCTAAGTGGCTCACCGTTTCGTTCGCTCTCTTTATTGGTGATAATTATTCGTGAGAATACGGAATACACCGATTTAAAAAATCGTTTCGTGCTTATTATGTGCAAAACAGAGGAATTGGCAAACATTTGATTGCTGAGAAATGCTTATTCAGTTATGTATATGTGTGATTTTTGGAAAATTTGATAATAAATAACTAAGGATTAATTTGCTGAAGCAAATTTAGCAGTGTTATCGTCGAAATACTTACCAGTTATAACCACTGAAAACTCAAACCATTAGATGTTTGAAAATTCAATTAACAATTAGGATCTAAAACAACAATAAATTTGTAGCATATTTCAAGATCAAATGCAGCGCAAGCATCTTATTTGCAAGTAAAACTTTAAGCTTTCGTTATGATGGTTGCAATTGTTGCCCATTATATACATTCAATTTTTCACTGCCACTAATTAGCAATCCAATTAATTGCAGTGACTTTCATTAACATAGTGGATGAATACTTCATGAGTTTAGCGGATAAATGATCACTAATTTAATAAGAACACGAAATAACTATATCGATCTTTTTTTCCAAAACAGGAGAACTCTGCTATGCATGTGAGGTTGCAATTATCGTTCATCAGAACACCGCATTATTGCTATTTCTTATTTCCTGAAGTGGAAATGCTATGCAATTGCTTCCACTTGTTTGTTATACATATATCTCATGCAATGACGTTCCTATCGAAATAAGAATTAAAATTTGCGAGATAACGCTTTATTTTATTCTAAAAGAGGAACTATTCATTTCTTCCTTTGAGATATTCGAATTTACATGTGAATTTAAATGAGGATAAAGTAGCTGATGTAGAATTTTGTTCCGCTGTATTCCGATATTATCGCGTTTCGAAGAACACGAAACAGGAAAGAAATACTGTTTTACCAAGCTTTTTATCAGATAGTACTAATTAGCTTACTGTGGTGATATATAAGGTCTTCGAGTGTTCAGAGTCTGCAATTATCGATTCATTTTGTGTGGACTACTAGTCGACAAATTTGGCTTTCTGTATATTCTGCTTTGGAAAGTATTAGAATTAATTCAATGTCAACAAATCGTGTTGCTGTTTATGGTGGTCGAGGAGGACTTGGTTCAGTAATTGTTGATTATTTCAAAAATAAAAACTTTGTAAGTCGTTTACTTTAAAAATTTCCTTATATATTTTTCACCGAGGACAAATCGATAGCTTCATGGGAACTGTCTGATCATTCAATATTAATGAGAATTAGCAATGTCTGGCTTATGTATGCTGCAAGAAGCATCTTAGGACGAATTAAATTTTAATAAATTTAAATCATTACAGTGGGCATTAAGTATAGACACTGTGAAGAATGAAGTGGCCGATGCAAATTTGGTGGTAAACAAGGATGCTTCATGGATAGAACAGGAATGCTTGATTCTCAAATCGTAAAGTTAAACTGTATTTATTGATTTAATTTTTAGAAAAGAATCATCGCAGTTTTTTACGTGTTTTTTCCGATTTTTCCTTTCAAGTGAGCTGTGATTATAAACATCACGATAGAAAATGACGGAAAGCCAGAAAATAAATTTGACTGGTAGAAGTACTCTACTATCATTTTAATGTTATTTTGTAAGTCAGCTCAGTGACTATCAGTATTGATATTTGCAAAATATGAAGCTATTTAGTGTCGGTGAAATACTGAATAATGAACGTCTAGATGCAATACTTTGTGTAGCAGGCGGCTGGGCTGGTGGTAGTGTCAATAGTGAGGATATGATTAAAAATTCGGAAATCCTATGGAAACAGAATGTTTGGACATCAGCTATATCTGCTCGAATTGCTGCGTTGTATTTGAAAAAGGGAGGTCTTCTTCAGTTTACCGGTGCAGCATCGGTGAGCTTTTTCATTTGTCCATATTAGAAAAAGGAAAATTTTTCATGCTATTTGGTAATGAATAAGGTCCTAGATGTTTTCGAATAAGATTGAACTCATATCGATCAACCAAATTTTAGCTCAACTAGACCACAGTTCGTTTTCTGGCTTCATCCGATTTAATTTTAAATTTTGAAGACTACATACTTTTAGGTATTAAAAGATACATCAAAAATGTTGGGATATGGTATGGCAAAGGCAGCAGTACATCAACTGACCAAAAGTCTTGCTCCTAAAAAATCTGGAATACCCGATGAATCTACGGTTGTTGCTCTTTTGCCAACAACGCTAGATACTGCACAGAATCGCAAATGGATGCCAAAAGCAAACACTGATTCGTATGTTTATATATTATTTAATTATATTATTTACAAGTAATTCATGTTTTTTAATTTTGATTAGTATTGAATTTCCGAAGTTAAAATGCGAAATATAAGTATATAGAGGTTCATCAAAACTGAAAAAATGGTGTGGTGCATTGTCATATTTTAACTGTAAGGAATAATAGTTGAAAGCAAGAGGAAACAGTCGATATCTCTTGAAAGAACATGTCTTGTGTTATCATGAAGTTGCATTTCCAATTGCTATTCTCTGCTACTTTAATTTTTTCGTCACTAAGTTGCATTTGCGAAAATCAAAGTCTAAATTAGTTTCAATTTTTCCAGATGGACGTCACTTGATTACATAGCAGAACTACTGCATAAGTGGACGTTAGATCCATCATCACGACCTCCAAGCGGTTCACTAATCGAAATAATTACACGGAACAACCAAAATGAATTGAAAATACACTGAATTATATATATATCCCTTCATATATGAGCTTACATATATGCATTTTTTCTCGCTAGACTTGGGATGTGTATTTTGCGGTATTTTTATTTCATAATTTTATATAAGATTTTGATCAGTCTTCTAAGTTTACAGAACACTTCTTGTATAATAGTATCCTTTTATTCCACATACTTTTCAGCATTATATGTTGATTTCAGTTAGTGAAAAACAAACATCTCCGGGTATTTAAATGATTTAAGCTGTTGTTCTTCGATAAACAAAATGAAAGTGATTATTGGTCAAACGATGATCAAGCCAACAATGATCATCTTCTTTTCATAATTAATGCACCATTTTCTGTCCACATTTATTTGAGCTGAGGATTTGGATTTTATTTTATGTTATTTTAATGTTTGTTACTTCTTCTAGTTTATAAAATCAGAACAGAAAGATAAGGTTTCTTTTTGCATTTATGAGTAAAAATAAACTGGAATCGGAATGTCGGAAAAATGTATCTAAAAAAATCAGTAAATGCTGAAGTCGAAATGTCGGAAAAAATGTATGTCAATAAATCATTTCGGATTGTTCATAGAATTTGGATGACCTACTTGAAAGAATTCAAATCTCTTTTATGGATAAGGATGAAAATTTGTTCTGGTATGGTCGTAGTCTATCACGCAATTCGGATAAGCTTTTAGCTGCATACATCTTCATTCTCCTCCCGATATACGTTAGAAACCGAAAATTTCCCAACTTTTCAAGACTCTCTCCGCGTTTCATTACCTTCCCTTTGGATTTCAGATTATGCTTCAGAATTAAATCAATATAAATCCTGAATGCTTTTCTTTTGATATTTCATATACTTGCATTCATCTTACATATTTTACATACACGTCAGGTAATAACGAATTACGTGTAATGTCTTCCAGTTTAATTGTTGAGCAGCATCTAGAATGATGCGATATTAAAAGGATATCCAAGTAAGCACACCTTTTCCTATTTGTATCGTTCATCAACAACTCTCTTAATTTTCACTTTTTTTAAATAAATAATAGGTTCAAAAAACAAAGTGATTTCTCACGTTACTATAGGAAGTAACAATTAAAGCAAAATATATTTTTGAGTTATCTTTCCCATAAATCCTTTAAATGTTTCCATTATAAGTTAACGATATCGTTTGTTTATCAAACAATAAAGGCAGAAGTTTAATGCAGTATTGAGGGAAAACAAGCTGAAATTCATGAAGACATTTATTGTATATAAATCTATATCATGTTGTATTTTACTTACAGACCAGGCAAATGTAATTGTTAACTGACAAAAGCTAACAAAATGATTTCTTAACATTTCTCAGTTATCGAACAATTGAATTGGCTCAAACATTCATACATTCAGACGGCTACGGACGAATGCTGAACAATCAAGTTCGGCTCAGACATTCAAGGAAACAAGCTTACATGGACACAATATCGATCGGTTTATATTGAAATATGCTATGAAGAAGTAGAAATAATCAAATTTTTAGAATCAAACAGCTCATTTTTTCCTTCCCCGCATCAACGGATTTATAGAAGTGGAAAAAAACATCATTTTTTATTTGATATTGATTTGAATGAGTGAAAGAGTGTAACGATTATTGATCATATGATTGAAATGCTGGCTTATATTAATATGATGGCATTATATGTATTCAACAAAAAACTTTTAAAATGCGAAGTTTAAAACTAAACTTGAAATTTTTAAAAGATTTTCAAATGATTTCAAAATATTATACATACATGATGTGCTCTCGAATAAACTCGGTTTTCCTTTTTTTATAAACTAACGAATAAGGATAATTACGGGTAAAGAATACGGATAATTCCTATCTTCTTGTGATGGTCAAATTATAACAA